ACTGAAGTGTTTTCCAGGCCACCAGGTCAGCTGCTGTGACTGTGGCACCACACATTTGTGCAGGCCCTGTTCTGTCACCAAAACCAGATCCTGGTGGACAATCAAAGGCTGGGAAATGCGTGGAAGAGAGATGATTCATGCAAGGGTGCACCCCCATCTCCCCTCAGCTAGGGCATGAGAAAGACTTGTGCCAGTTTACAATGCATGTCACAAGGAAGCCATTGGGTCACTCATGCAAAAACAGAGGCCTGCACACAATGAAGTGTGTTCTCATCGGGAGGCTCAGGCGAGGAAGAGCTCTCTTCTTGGCTCATTCAGGTTGGGACAGCATCCATCTGTTCCTGCTGTGTGGCTCAGGTCTCCCGTTCCTACTGGTGGAGGCTGGCTGTGGCCTACTGTGCCCAGAAGCCACCATTGGGGCTTCTCCAACCTGGCTGCTCTTGGTATGGTGCCAGCAAGGAGAACCTCCCTCTCCGGTCTGCTGAGACACATTACTGTGTGATGTGGTGCCAGACCATGGTCTCACCTGCTCCAGAGGAGGGGACTACACAAGATGTAGTCCAGGAAGTAGAAAACCAAGGACAGATACTTTGGGGTCTATGTGCCACAGAGTGGGATGGTCCTGAGTGGGGTGGGATCAGTCCAGAGGAGGACTAAGAGGTCTGGGTATCCAGAAAGGGTGGGTGATGGAAGGATGGAGCTGAATGCAGAGCCGGGGGTGGGGGAGGGGGGGGCGCTGTGGGATTTTAAGTGTGTGTGTGTGTGTGTGTGCAGGCTCATGATTTAGCTATACTCGCTGGCCAGTGTGTATGTGCACTTGTGTGTGTGCATGTGCATGCATGAATGAGTGTGTGTATGTGCGAGTGTGTGTGTGTGTGTGTGTGTGTGTATCTGAAGGCTCACTGATTCAGCTATATTCACTGGGATATAAGCACCAGGGATCTGCCTGACTCTGACCCACCAGTGCGTGTGTGTGTGTGTGTGTGTGTGTATCTGAAGGCTCACTGATTCAGCTATACTCACTGGCCAGTAAGCACCAGGGATCTGCCTGACTCTGACCCACCAGTGCAGGGCTTACAGATGTGTGCCATGCCCAGATTCATATTTGTTTAAAACAAAACAAACAAACAAACAAAAAACAACTGCTTCCTCTGTGTAGAACAGCATCTTCTGAAGGGTGAGTTTCCCAGACAAGTTTCTCCACAACTGTCTTGAGGGGAGGAGCCACCCCAGGTAGCTGGGACTGGCAAGAAGGCCCTCTGGTGGTTTCTGAGTTCTGAACTATTTGAATGGATGGACAGTGGCCAAAAATGCATTCATCTTATTTTTCTTTCTGACACACCAGGTTTTTTTTTGATGCAGTGCTGGGAATTGAATTAGGGCCTCCCACATGCTAGCAGGTGGGAAACAACATGAAGGAAGCCATGGCAAGAAACCTGGGCACTTCAGAAAGCTAGCCCAGGAAAGGGAGCGCCAACCGTCCACATCAAGCTGAGTGCATGCATTCCGGCAGGGTGCCACGGAGCCTCTGGTTCTGACCCTTTTTATGTACATTCCTGGTGCCCACGCCTTCCTTCTTAGCTCTCCTTTGTCCAAGAGAAGTGGCGTGGGCACACTCTGACCTCCCGGACATGATTGTCTCTAAAGAGCACCTCATGTCTCTAGCAGGTTGAGCTGCCACCTCTTCATAGTTGTGAAACCAACTGCTAATTTCTCTTTCTCTAATGCATTTGATGGTCACTTCAAATAAAATTCTTCAAAGAGATTGCAAAAGAAGAAAAAAGCAGGAGAAAGAAAAGAAACAGGGCATCAACTACAGACTCCTGATGGGTTATGTTTCCCTGAACGCTATTTCCTACAATATTTGTGTGCTCTAAATTACTGATTCTAGTCCCTGTGTAGCTAAATAATAATAATTACCATATAAATGAATATGCATATGTGTCATTTTTCTCCCAAAAAGCAAGAGAGCCCACTTGTTTTGGGTGAGGGTTTGTTTTGCTTTTGAACAACCAAAGCTCATAATTAGAAGCCTCGCCTCGCCCTGGAAATCTGTCTCCATTGGGAAGAGATGAAAACAGCTCCAGATGCCCCTTGAAGGTTAAAAGAAATCTTAAGACAAATTGAAGGAGGTGGTTCTTTTCCCTGCAGGTAACAGTGGCTGGGCCACAATCACAGTCACAGACATGTAGGTCAGAGAGGGGAAATGGAGGCATGAAGAGGGGAACAGTGACCAAACCTCCAGGAGACACCCCCATCCATGGCAGGAGGCCCCTCTTCAGTAAATGAGAGGGGAGAACAATCATGGAAGATACTGATGTCAAACTCGGGCCTCCACACATGCATGCATATGCACTAGCACACACAAACAAGCAAAAAACAAAAAAGCCAAGCTGGGCAGTGGTGGTGGATGCCTTTAATCCCAGCAGTCAGAAGTCCATGAGTTTGAAGCCAGCCTGGTCTACAGAGAAAGTTCCAGGCCAGTCAGGACTACATATAGAAACTCTGTCTCCGGAAAACAAAAACAAAACAAAACAAAAACAACTGGGCGGGTGCTGAATGGTGCACTGGGCCTAGCTGCATGTGCCATACACCTGATCAGAGGGGTCACCAACGGTTTAGCAGTCACAGGCTTGTCAAACAGTAGAGATGTGCCTGCAGTGAGATGTAACAGATAAAGCTGTCCCCATCATCAGTCACCATGGCAATAAGTATTATAAATACATGGTCAACAGTATCAATCACAACACAGTGTAATTGTGTGGAATAAGATATAATCAACATATCAGTTTCAGTAAGTGCCGTCATTCTGATGAAAGTGGGATTTCTTGACAAGGACCCTGGAAGCCCAGCCTTGAACTTGGTCTACACTGCAGGTAAACGGTGAAAAAAGGCTGCATGGATAAAACTTGTAAATAAGGTCAAGAAGGGCTGCTGGACATCAGACTTTGTTGGGGCTGCGGAGGCAGCTTGGTTGGAAGAGTTAGTTTTTGCTACAGTGGAATTCTAAGACTTTTTTTTTTAAGCATGAGGTTTATTTCACTCATTTTTTTTTGTTTATTTGTTTTAGAGAAACAATGATTTAATCTGCAATGCCAGTCTCACTAGAACTAGAACCACCATGGGATCACATCTCTGGGTATTCAGGCATTTACAGACAGGTTTCACTGAGCAGGGAAGACCCACCCTGACCACGGGCTGGAGACTCAGACTGAATAAAAAGGAGAAAGTGGGCTGAGCACCAGCATCCCGCTCTCTGTTCCTGACTGTGGATGCAATGTGACTGGTTGCCTCGAATCCTACTACTGTGACCTCCCCAACAGTATTCCAGGAATGTGCTGGAAGGCTTTGATCTCACCCAGAGCCTCCTGGTTCAGAGGCAGCCGGGAATGACATGGCCCTGCAGTCTGCACATACAGCGGAAAACAAGTTCCATATCAAAACCAAAACCCAGAGCCACCTGGTTGGAACATACTAGAACCCAAATGAATCAGTCAGCTGCCGAGACAAAGATGTCAACATCCACCAAAGGACAGGACCCTGAGTCTCATGACATAAAAAGCATCCAGGATATAACCCACTCAACCCAGGGAGAGCCAGGGCAATAGTGACGCTCGTGGAGGAAGAAAAACACTGGCACTGTGGTGCCACTCTGGTGTTGGAATCAGTCACAAAACAAAGACTCTAAAGCTGATAGTTTGTGGGTGTTTTGTTTTGTTTTAAAGCCAATCTAGAAAATGATGGGAAGATCAATATCCTGGCAGAGAAGCAGAGAGCAGAAAGAAGAACCAACTGAAATTTTAGGACTTGAGAAAAATAGTAGCCCAAATAAAAACCTCACTGGGTGGGCTCAGAGGTGGCAGAAGGATGAGACTGAAAGGATTAAGGGGCCTGCTAGAGTTCATTATAAATAATCACGTCTGATAAGCAGAGCAAATAAAAACAGAGCAGAGCCCCGGGACCCAGGGACCAGAGCACCAGCAGGAGAAGAGAAAGAATGGTGGGACTAGAATCAACTTGATGTGAGTGCGGCCATCTTGGTTGTAACTGCCATCCTGCCATCAGGTCACCCTGATGCATCCCAAGCCCTGGAGAATAGGGTCATTCAGACAGACAGCAAGTGTGCTACATGGCCCCTGGAGGTGGACTTGCTTTTCATTGGACATGCAAATAGGTTTTGGGGCAAGGCCAGGCACACTGTGACCTACCTTTGATTACCATAAAACCCTTTCCCCTGCCTTGTGGGGAAGGGGAGCTGCCTGTGTTGTTGTTATCCAACACACGCTTCTGACCCACATTTCCTTTCTCTCTTGGTGTGACTCTGGGCCTGTTTGCCCACTTGTGGCTGGCTCTCAAACACTGGGCCAGGTTTTCTGAAACTATGCAGGGAATAATTTAAATGATAAAAGCCAGGGCTGGAGTGCTGGCTCTATGGTTAAAAGCCCAGGCTGCTCTTCTAAAGGACCAGGGTCCAGTTCCCAGCACCCCATCAAACAGCTCACAACTATCTATGAGACTCCATTTCTAGGGGATATTATGCCCTCTCCCAGGGTCCAGTTCCCAGCACCCCATCAAACAGCTCACAACTATCTATGACTCCATTTCTAGGGGATATTATGCCCTCTTCTGGCTTCATGGGCACTGCATACATAGGGTGCACATACATACATGAAGGCAAAACACATAAAATAAAAGTAAATTTTTAAAAAGATTAAAAGTCCAAGATCTTGGACACTTCAGTGTCACTAGCTGGTTCACTTAGTCCCTCCCACACACACTTTGGCAATTTCACTTTTCTGGCTGCTCTCCAAGGACCCCTTAGAGTGGGTTAGCTGTTAGGCACCCCAACAGAGCAGTCAACTACCACAGCTACTCTGAAGCCCCTGACCACAGACTGACCTTTGCTCAGCTTCACCTTCTCCATAGCCTCAAAGATAGACACATCCCTTCCCCCTTATCCTGGTAACCACCCCTAGCCACACAGTGCCACGCAGTCTTACCTTCCTGAGGCAGTCATCCTCATTCAGGCGCTCCTGGACCAGGCCGATAAGTATTGAATTGGGAATCATCTGAAAGGAAGACACATGGCATTAGGTCCCCAACCCCAGTCTTCTACCAACAGTGCCACATCTTCAGAGCAGACAGCGGTTTTCCTGGAACCTGCCCCAGGAGTGTTAATTTTGAGAATATGCATTTCCAACATGTTCCCAAGTGATGGCATTGCTTCTAGACTGGGGACTTCACATAGAGAACCTTTGTCCTAAAGTGACCTAATAAAGGGTCCACTAGGCTGGGAGCCACTGGCCAGCGAGGCTGCCTTTTTGCTGGTGCCCACATCCTCCTGGGTGCCCAGTGGGGCTCCCCAGGGTTGGCAATATAAAGGGAGTGGACAAGTAGTACCTTCTCTTCCTATTCCCTCCAGTCCTTGTCAGCCAGAGCAGTCTCCATTCCTGAGCCATGCTCCCAGGGCTCACGCCCCCCTCCCCATGCCATGTACTCATACAGCATTCAGATAAATACAGGGACACAGGAAGCGCCTGCCCAGATGCAGGGAATCCAAGCAGTCAAAGCACATAGCTGAAAGGTGGCAGGCCCAGGTGGGGTGCAAGCCTCTGGAAGCCTTCCCAGCAGGGGCTAGGTGGTAGCTTTGAGCAGTGCCCATCCCAAGTGCCCCCTGCCGTTCCCTGCCACTGTGCTGTCTGGATAGCAGCTTTGATGTGTCACATCAGCACAAGGGCTTCTGGGATGCTTCTGGAAGCCCTGCCAGACTCTTTGCAGGAGTCAGGCCGCCTCCTTCCAGAACCTGGCAATGCATCCCCACCCTCCAGCCCCCAGGCCTGGCTTTAGGGGGAGAGGCAGAGACAAGTAGATGGAGCTCAGGTGGCTTTTCCTGAGCATGGGGTGAGTGCCCAGGCTCACCTTGGGACGGTCTGCTTCCCTGGTTCTTAGGGACAGCACTGGCTGCATCTACTTCAGGCAGTCTGGGTTTTGTTCTCTTCCCTGGGTCACCTAGGTGGGCACTTCAATGCACAGAACAGACTCTAGCAGTACAGCAGGAAGGAACAAGCTGAGAGCCCCTGGTCTGCCCTCTACATAGATAGCAGCTCTGTCAGAGTGGTCAAGAACCTTTTCGGGGTCCAGAGAGGCAGCTGAGTGGGTAAAGGCATTGGCCACCAACCCTGATGACCCGAGTTTAATTCTTAGGACTCATTTGGTGGAAAGAGAATCTACTCTTCCCAGTTGTTCTGTGCCATCTGCAAGAGCCTTGGAGCCTGCATGAGTGCACACACACACACACACACACACACACACACACACACACAACCATACATACCATTCCACACACACACACCATTCCACACACACCCCATACACACCACACACACCACATACCACACACACAAAGTATAATTTAAAGTAAAAAGGTTTTTTTTTTGTTTTTTTTTTTTTAAAGAACATTTTCCAGATTCCCAGGCAAAGGGAAGCTGCTCCAAGTTGGCAGGAAATGAAGGGATGACAAGAAGAACCACCCCCAAGACTCTGGAGGAAGAGGCAGAGGTTGGAGACGTGGAGACAAGAGGGAGGAGGGCATGAGAGAGGCAGACTCCACCACAAGGAGTGACAACCAAGGAGGGACAGGCAGTGTTGGCCCTGGGATTTGGAAGGCTACCAGGCTAGCACAGAAGCCAGCAACCAGATTTTACATTTGTAGACACAAAACGGCACGGTGGCCTGTAGTCTAGCATTCGGGAAGAGCAGGCCAGAGCATCGGAAGTTGCAGCACATCATCAGCCTGGGATTGGGGGAGGGGAAGGATACACTGTAAACACTGTGGAGACCTGAATTAGGAATAGCCTGGCTTTAGGAAGGCCTCAATGAGCCCAGCTTTCCAAGCTTGGGCCACTTAAGATTCACTACACAAACACAGGCAGCTCTGCTCCAATGCAATCTTTTAGAGAACACCCAGACATAGCAATTATGGCATTATTAACTGTGGTGACAGAGGGCAGTCATATTGGGTGGGGCTGGGCTGTCATCTCAGAAGTCCCAAGATGCTATCTTTAAATGCTGTGGCTTGATCCTACTCCTGAGGACTGGCTCTAAATGCACAAGGCAAGGCCAGGCCGCAGGTGGGTTTTTTTGTTTGTTTTTGGTTTTTGGTTTTTCGAGACAGGGTTTCTCTGTGTAGCTTTGGAGCCTATCCTGGCACTCGCTCTGGAGACCAGGCTGGCCTTGAACTCACAGAGATCCACCTGCCTCTGCCTCCCAAGTGCTGGGATTAAAGGTGTGCACCAACAATGCCTGGTCCGAAGGTGTTTTGTTTTTTGGGTTTTTTTTTTTTTTGGTTTTTTGAAACAGGGTTTCTCTGTGGTTTTGGAGGCTGTCCTGGAGCTAGCTCTTGTAGACCAGGCTGGTCTTGAACTTACAGAGATCCACCTAGCCTCTGCCTCCCGAGTGCTGGGATTAAAGGCATGTGCCACCAACGCCCTGCCCGCAGGTGGTTTTTAAGGTGCCTGGCATGGGAGTGGACTGAGCTACTGGGGTGGGTGGAGCTGGGAAACCCTGTGGGAGGCAGTTTGCATGCTTCCTTCAGAGAATTCAACGCCCTGCCCGCAGGTGGTTTTTAAGGTGCCTGGCATGGGAGTGGACACAGCTACAATCCTAAAGCTGTGAGGCCTGATGGGAGCAGCTGAAGCCAGGGCCTGGCCTGGAAGGGTCCCAAATCTTCTGCATATCTTTGTCCTATTTCATAATATACAGTTCAGAATAAACAAAAAGCAGTGTGGACCTTCAGTGTCTTGAGGGACAGTCCTGCCCCTTGAGGTGTTCTGACACTTTGATTCCAGGATCTTCCATGCCTGGGAGCATCACAGCCCAGCTCTTAGGAAAGCTTTGAATGAACCTTAGCTCTGTAGTCTGTGCACACCTCCCAGCCTGTGCCTGAGACTCAGCAGGTGGCTGGGTCACATGACCACACTGACCATCAAGTCTGACCACTCTTTATCTGCTGCAGTCTAATCTTTGGTTTGACAAAAAGCTATCCTTTGGCATGGTGGATGACTAAAGTTCATGAGATCAGCTTGAAGGTCAGACATGCTTGTGTTTCTGCTTCATGAATGAGCACACCGGCTGGCTGGGCTGGCTGTTACATAAGGATCCCATGTTCTGAGGTCTAAGTACTAGAAGGGCCAAGAGGCCTTGAAATGTGGCCAGGGCACTGGACAAATGAATGGCTGTGGCTCTGTCTATAGGCTCTGAGATAGTGGGGCTGAGGGGATTTAGGAAATGGCCCATATACTGAGTATCAGCAGATGTGAAGTTCCCACAGGAAAATGAGGGAGCCTGGACCTCAGAGAAGAATGGCAAAAGACACATCCCCACTCTTTGGCTCAAAGGGAATTTTGAAAAAAAAATTCTTTGCATTTCTGTTTCATTAAAGAGAAACAGTGTGCTAAAATACAAGATGAGGAGGCAAACCAGGCAGAGATCGATAGCCAGCCAACCAGCCAGCCTAGGCTGGTTCCAGGTTGACTGAGAGACCTGACTAAAAAAAGAACATGTCTGAGAGAGATCGAGGAAGACACTAATCATTAACCTCTGGTCTTAACACTCACACATGTGCACCACCATGTACATGCACACACACACACACACACACACACACACACACACAAATAAGAAATCATCTAAAATAGTTTTAAAGGAGGAGGAGGAGAAGAAAACTAGCCAAGCAAGGGGGAAGTGGAGATCTGAAGCCATAGCTGCTCTGTCCCTGAACCCTGGCCCAGGGGCCAACCTTACCTTATAAATCTGGTAGTGTCTCTTGGCTTCCTCAGCCAGACAAGAAAACTCTTTTCCTAACAAGTTATCCTTGGTGATTAGATTGCTGTTGAGATGTTTGCAGAGCCACATTGCCTAAAGAAAGGAAAATAGAAATGAAAGTAAATGCAACACACGCCTTAGGCATGACTCCACCCGGTGGGGGAGATGGCTCAGTAAAGTGTTTCTCCTGCAAGGAGAAAGACCTGAATTCAACCTCTGGAACCCATATTCCTGGCATTGAAATGGGAAAAAATAATAAAAGTCTAAAAACTTAAGACTCCAAAACCCATATAGGAAAAAGAAAACTTTCAAGCTCCTCTGAGCTCCCAAAAGGCAGCCAGACAGATAAGGCTAGACAAAGAACTAGGTATGTGACTAGAGGCCTGAGACCAGATAACATACTCCAGCTGTGTCAACATTTCTCTGCCCTAAAGAAGACCAGATAGCCATCAACTTGTGGTTGTAAAAATCCCTGGCCCAGAAAATAATTAACAAACTTATTTGTTTGTTACAATATCCTGCTTAATTGTATCTTGCCCAAACATACAGTTATTGTTTTGTCTTATGTAACCACTAAGCCCTGTAATCTCAAGACTTTCAGTCTTGTGGACTTTCCCTTTAAAAACCCCTCTTAGCTGTAAGCGGTATTTTGCTCCCGAGCAGACAGAATCCACGCTGCAGCCTGCCAATAAAGAAAGCTTTGTTCTTGCATTCGGTGAGTTGTCTCCTTGGTGGTGGACTTTTTGGGGTCCCAAGAATTGGGCATAACAGAATGATGGCACACTTGGAACTCCAGCACTGTGAAGGTGGAGACAGAAGGACCCCTGGGGCTTGCTGGCCAGGCAGCCTAGACTACTATTGAGTTCCAGGCCAGTGAGAGACCCTGTCAATGAGTGCAACTCAAAGATGTCATCTAGTCTACACACACACACACACACACACACACACACACACACACACACACACGGCTGGGTATGTTAGTACATAGCTATAATGCCAGCATTATAGCTGTAAGTTTGAGGCCAACTTGAACAAATAGAGGTACCCTGTCTAAAAAACAAAACCAAAAACAATGAAATTAAGCCTGCCAAATCCTTCTATATTCTGTTAGAAAAAAAAATTGGCTAGGGAGCCAAGACTGTAGCTCAGCAGTGGAGAAAAGGCAAGCCATGGGACACAGTCATTTGTGGGTGGCTGGAGTAAGGTACTTCTCACCTATCAGAACCATCTGTCTCACCTACCAATGGCTCTGTGTGGCCATCATCCCCCCCCCATCTTTCTGTGGACCACAAGGAAGATGTGGAGGTGGTGTGAAAAAGAGGGAAGGAAGTGTTTACTGGTCTGGTCTGGTCTTTGCCTTGCTTCTCTTTTAACATGGAAAGACCAAAGAATAAAAGGCAGAAAAATGGCAAGTGTGTGGGAAGTCTCAGAACTGACAAGTGAGCATTTATGGCACAGTGTCATTGCTCTTTCACTTCAGCTGCTTCACAGTCCACACTAAGACACCATAATCAAAGCCTTTAAGGTATGCAGGCTGTTGGACCTGAAAGTGCTTCTAGAAATGCATTCTCCAGCTATAGTTGAGGGAATGCCCCAGGTGCTTCTGAGGTAGCCAGGAGATGTCCCCAGGATGCCGCTGAAGTGTGACCAGGGAAGGGGTGGCACCCCAGGGTTAAAGGGCTGTGTGACTGTGGTTCGTATTTTCTGAATTCCCATCTGTGGTGATTTGAATGAAAATGGGCCCAATGGCTCCTAGGAAATGGCACTATTAGGAGGTGTGGCCTTGTTGGAGTAAGTGTGTCACTGGGGTGGGCTTTGGGGTTCCAGAAGCTCAAGCCAGGCTGTGGCTCACTTGCTTTTTCTGTCTCCTGCCTATCCAGATATAGAACTCTCAGCTACAATGTCTGCCTGTGTGCTGCCAAGCTTCCGGCCATGATGATAATGGACTCACCTCTGAAATGAAATGTTTTCCTTATAAGAGTTGCTGCAGTCATGGTGTCTCTTCACAGCAATAGAAACCCTACTACCTAAGACACTGGCTATGAACACACCCTGCCATTTGTAATGAGAAAGTGGGTAGGAAGAGAAGAAAAGAGCAGGTGTGTGGACAATTCACCAGTGCACAGCCCCCTGTCCACCGGAGCATGAACGACACATTCTAGAATGACATTTAGTATAATGCACTTACAATGGTGGTTTTCCCTGAGGCAGGCGGACCTAGTATCACGACCTTCGGCACTGTGGAAGAAAAAGATTTGGATGTCAGCACTGGGCACGACAAAGCGGCCTGCCATGTCTGTGCTGCACTGGGTCTATTTCTTTCTTCCCCAGATTTCATTTCTGCCAGTGACATGACCATTCGTAACCCTGAGGCTGGGAGACACTCCTGCCCCAGAACGCATTCTCTGTGTTTAGAGAGGTAAGCGATCACAGAGATGGTTTACTTTTCTATCTCCACGGGGATACGGACACAGTAACTTGTTTGCCAAACTAATGAATATCAAAAACAATTGGGATTTTCAAATGCCATAAAGCATTTTAAACAGGGACTTTGTCTTGGGAACACTCTTTCAAATAAAGTTGTATTTTATGTAAATAGACCTTTGATGCTTTTATATATATATATATATATTTATGCCTTCTTATTTAGCAAATTGTACCCCCCCCACCATCATTTTATAGAAGAAAATAATGGAAAGAAGCCTGCAGTGTATGGGCTAGATTTATAAAACCCAAGGTAGGTGAGTCTTTGTTTTCGAATGCAGGCATTTCTATGCAAATTTTTACAACCCTGGCAGCTTATTTGTGGCTGTAAGTCCTGGCTCTGGAATAGTCTTGGTTCTGCAGAAGCCCTGGAGTGTCGTCTGGGGTACCATGGAGCAGTTGCTGGCAACTGGGAGGAGAGAAGTCTATCACAGTGAAAGGGTGGGACAGGGGCACAAACAAGGTCAGATGACACGTAAGTCTAGGGATGACTGCCAATGAAGTCTCTTGATGATGTCACCTCCATCTTACTTGTCCAGAGTAAGTCCTCTTAGCCTTAGGACACACGGGAAAAATGTCTACCCAACTCTCTTGAGTCTCTACTGTCCACGTGGAGCTGGAAGGACCCTACTCCAAGAAGAGGTAAGGCATGAATGGCTGTCTACTCTGGGGACAGACATGGAGATGGAAATAGAGAGTAGCCTTTAGGACAGTAGTTTGGAGGCCAGCACAAGGGTACTCTGCTAGGCTGCTTGGGTTCAAATAGGTCTCTGCCCAAATTCCCAGTAACTTCTCACTTCCAAGGTGAGGGTGGAGAAGAGTGTGAGATGATCACCCCTCCCCCGGCCACTGCAATTCTGAAAGTCTCACAGTAGCACAGGACCCATCACAGAGAGGAAGGGATAGGCTACATGACAGGGGCTCCATGTGGCTCCACATGGCAGGCAGGCTAGCAAAGTGAGCTGTATACTCGGGTACCACAGTGCTCTGCTGGCCTGACCGCAGGATCCTTTAGGTTCCCTTGGGCCTGGAGGGGCATGCCCTGCATTTCCTAATAGTCCTAGGGCTCAGAGAATCCCTCAGGGGTCCTAAATGATGCCCTCCTTTGAGCTGACAGACCTGGGGCAGCCCTTTTCTTCCCAGACAATGCTAACATATGTCTACTTATCATTTGTCATTCTCTGTCAAGAATATCTTTGCCTCCACGCAGCCAGGGGACACTCTGGGCCTTACTGCTTCTTCCTGCTTGAGACTATACCCTGGTTCCACTGTGGAGAAACTGGTCAAGCTACTTGCAGCAATTTCCCTTCCACTGTAGAAGGCTTCATTACCAGGCCTCAAAAAAGTGGCACTGCTGTCCCCAGCAAATGGCCAGCTCTCTGAGAGCAGGTACAAAGTCTTATCCACATGAACCTTTCCACAGAAGTCAATATTGCAGGGTCACCCACACAGCAGAACCTGCAATGGCCACCTCAGTTATCCCCCAGCCCTTGATGTGACCACTGAGAGTTACTATTGCTGCCATCTACAGAAGGCTCTCTTTGCCAGTCAACACTGTAGGGAACTGCTAAGGACTCAGGGGTGGCCAAGTTGAGACAGACTCTAGTAAAAGGATAGAGGATCACAGAATCCAACACAGCTGGGGATCCATGCCGGGGTACCCCACCAGGAAGGATACCCCAAGCAAGGCCACAAAATGGTCTAGGGGAAGAACACTGCTATTCTATGCACTGATGACACAGCCTTTGTCCTTGATGCACTGTGGTTCATGGGGCTGCCACCAACCACCACCATCCAGGGACTATGCCTTGCAGAGCCGATGGCAAAGGGTGGAGGTGGGTACTGCCCATGGCACAGGCTGTTGTAGATGCTGGGGGCATTGTCCAGCATCTGAGATGTCAGTGCAGGTCTCAAGGCAGGAATCAAGGAATTCATCCATTCCTACTACAAGTCACAGGCCAGGGCAAGGCTCTCAGGGCCTCCATCTGAGTGAGAGATGTCACAGCAGGTAGCATTTGCAGCCCAGGTGTGGACATTTGGGCCAGGGAGGGGGAAGGTGAGGTTGGAGCCGGAGTTCAATCTAGAGTTTGGAGAGCAGCGGGGAGGGTGTTCAAAGTCAAAGAGGCACAGGAATTGGGGAAATTGCTATGACTATAGAGAATGCCTGCTCAGCCAAAGCCAGGATGCTGGAGGGCTGCTATGCGAGCCTACTCCAGTGCCCACTGCTCTAAGCACAGGCCTTTGCCTATCCCTGGGAATGTCACCAACCAGATTCATCAGAGTTCAGGGGTGTAGTGCTGGAGAAGATGGTAGATACATCTCGCATTGAGTGTGTAACCAGGGCATCCAGCGATTAAATCCAACTCCTGGCAGAGGCCCTGGGCAGGGGCTACAGGGGAAGTGTTACTCCCCTCTGTTCCATTCCCAGCTCCTGTAAGTGGCACCCAAATTGTACACGCCTAAGAAAATACTTTAAAGAGGAACATCGTGGCCTTCTCCCCTCCCAATTTCTCATACTCACTTAGCTGACTAATTTCGGTTTCTTAAAATCTAACACCTTGAAACTCTGGCCTAGCTCATGAGTAATTATTTATAAACAGTGTCATAAAAGGCTGCTTGACTGCCAAGAGTAATCAAACTCCTCTAACCACTTCAAAGAAAATCAAAGAACCTTTCCATCCGTGGAGCCTTTTGAGGCTTAACTAGGAACATGATTTAAAATTCACAAGGAGCCCCTCAGGTATCAGAGCTCTAATACAAGGCTTTCCTGGACAAGCGTTTGATACGAAGCGAAATGCTCCATTATATCCACCACCGCCTGTGCTAATATTGCCCAGGGCCACCGTAAACGTTCACTTTGTACTGAATGCTTTTCTCGAGGCAAAGGGGCTAGGAGCCCAAGTGTGGGGCTCCTTCCCTCCTTCCTGTGCATGCTCACAGGCTGGGATGAGTTCTTCCTCCCATGTCAGTCACTGGCCAGTGTTACATGTGCCCTGCTGCCAGTAAGCAGGAAGGTTGTGTTCCTGGCTCTGGTGACTAGGAGGCAAGCAACTCTCAACACTGCCCAGGGGAGCAAGGGAAATGCAGGTTGGATGTCTTGGGACCCCACTAAGTTCCAGAGGGGTGTGGCTCAGGCTGATCCCACCTCTCTTGCCTTTGACATCCTAGAAAAATTACAACAGCAAGGTGGCCTCCCTCTACCCATTGTTGGCCTTGCTTTTCTGGGAATGAAAGCCTATGAACATCCCTATCCAAAGACACAGATGTCCCACAAATGCTCACCAAGGCTTGAGAGTAGGGTGGAGAACTGGGGTGGGGGGGCGTCGTAATAAAGCCACGGTTATCGGACTTGGCATGTGTGCTTGAAGAACATCCAGGCTGGAAAGTGACACCCATCCAAATGGCAGGTGGGAGACTGACTGTGGCAATACAGGCCTGGACTCCACTCTCTGCAGCAGAGGGTGCTGTGTGGAATAAAGGGAAAATGCCACCAAGAGCTGTCTTTGCAAAGTCACAGGCCTGGAAATGTGTGGTAGGTGGCCACAAGCAAATTGTTGCGGATAGGAGATAGCTGTCCAGCAGATATCAGCTGCACTCAGCCAGCCCAGGATGATGATATGGGGACTTGAGAAGGCTAGTGCAGGGCATGTGATGCTGAAATACTGCCCTGCAGCCACACAGCAGTACTGAGACAGGTGAGAAGGCAAAGGCAGCCTCATGTTCTAGGCTCTCACTCCAGGTCTGAGGCTTATGGAAGCCTGAAGATTATTAGCTCAAAAAAATTTCCCCACAGTGGGGGCATAGGGAGAGAGCTCAGTCACTAAGAGCACTGGCTGCTTTTGCAGAGAACCTGGCTTCAGTTACCAGCACCCATGAGGTGGCTCACAACGATCTGGAATTCCCAGTTCTAGGGAATCCAATGCCCTCTTCTGGCCTCCACGGGAACTGCATATACATAGTGCACATGCAGACAAACACACATACACAAAAAATGAAAATAAACCTTTAAAAAAATCCTCCAACTTGCTGTGGATGTGAACCAGTCCAGCTGATGTGGACACCCCCTGTCTCTGCAACAGAGTCTTCCAACAGCTCCTGATGGAATACCCATTGCCTAAATTCCCTTTTTTTTTTTTTTTGGGTAGCATTTCAGCATTTTAGGGTCCCTAACTTCGTCCCAAAGTCAGCAGGAAGTAGATTGGAAAGAATATGTCGCCCATTTCCCCTAACTTCGTCCCAAAGTCAGCAGGAAGTAGATTGGAAAGAATATGTCACCCATCCTTACATAGGGGATGCCAATACCTCTCACTCCCTGATGGGGATGCTGAAGAGACAGCAACTCCATGATTGGAATCTCCAAAAAAAAAAAT